TCTATTACATTATACCATTGTTCATCAATCTGCATACCATTCGATAAATTTACTAGATTATTATTACTATTTTTTATTATTTCAATATGTTCTTTAAATTTGCGTTTATATATTTCCTTTTCATAATGTAATATTTTTATGTTATTCCTGTCAATCTTACAATTATTAATATTTATGTGATCGAACCAAGGGGAATTGTTATATTTTAATTTTATAGCGGCTTCATGCTCTTTAATTCGTAATTCTAATTGCCTACCTGTTTCACCTATATAGTTTTTTGGATTTATACAATCACACCTTATTTTATATACAACACCCGATTTTTTTAGTTTGTCTACTTTATTTGTATGTTTTATATTATCAGAATGGATGTTGTGTGAGATTTTATTAATTAAAGACGGGGCCAAAACTATATTTTCTTCCTTTAAAATTTTATTATAATTATTATGTATATCATTAATATAAGGAAAAGATTTATAAGTTTTATTAATTTTATATTTGGTATTAAATCGATTTTTATAATATTGTTTATGCCATTTCTTCAATTTATACATCGGATAATTATTTAAAATATATTTTTTATCTAACTTTTTTAATTCAGTTTTTCTATTATTTTCATCCGAAGTTCTAGTATATATATTTTTTTATATCCATTATGTATGTGTTCTTCTTGATGGTTTCAGGTGTATAAGAGTAATAATTTATGGTTTTATTTACATTACATGATTTTTTATATATTTTGGAAGTAAATTTATCTATTTTATTAAATATAGTAATATCTAAAAAGTTTATTTGATTGTGTTTCTCTTCTTCAATTTCAAATTTTATATTCTCATTTATATTATTTATCTTATTTAATATTATTTCATCATTAGTCATTTTTTTATTATAAATTACTAAATAATCAACATATCTCATTACGCTTTTTACACCTGGAATGTTTTTTATTTTTTATCTATGTTTATCATCACTAACTCTGCTAGTCTTCGTTGTTAATCTTTGGTTGTTAATGTTGGTTAATCTTTACACCAGAAAAAAATTTTGTAAATTGGTTTTTTGTTTTTAAATTTTGTGTACAATTTACACTGAAGAGGGGCTCATACAAGCCTGAAATGCATATGTAATTTACAATAAAGGAATACTTAACTTCAGAGCTGAAAGAAAGTCTACCGTTTGTTAACCATTCGGATTGAAAAGACATATACTATATCTACGTATTTATCAGCTAGTATACCAGATTTTGTGCCTCAAAATACAGTTAAATTCAAAACACACAGTTAAAGCAATAAACACATATGTTGTCCCAGTATCCACATACTCTTTTCGAGTTATACATTGGACTCACACAGATCTCGAGCAACTCCAAAGGAAAACAAGAACAACACTTACTAAGCATAAACAACATCATCCTAAATCCGCCACAAAAAGATTAACCCTTCCACGTAAAGATGGTGGACGTGGCCTGATTGACATTATAAAACTTCACTACAAACAAATACAGTCACTGCGAGAGTTTTTCTACAGGAAACAAGAAACATCACAGTTACATAAAGCAGTAACTTTAGCAGACTCAAATAACACACCATTAAATTTACACTCACAACATACAGACATGACACAACACACAAAAAGCATAGACACCATCAAGCCATCGTGGGCTCGAAAGGCACGCCATGGCAGGCATCCTTATGACCTGGCCCAGTATTTTGTTGACAAAACTGCGTCAAACAGCTGGTTAGATCGGTGATGCCTCTTTGGGGAGACGGAAGGATTCATGATTGCCATACTAGATTGTTGGGATAAAATCGTCGGACATATGATTTCCCACGCCTTTCCGTCTTTTCAAACGAACGATAGTTTCACTATGGGAACACTGATCAGGCGACTTTGGAAACTCGACCGCGGATTTGCTACAAGATATCGTATGAACTGCGGACCTCCGTCACAGCTACTAGGTGTTGATTGGTGGATTTACCTTCGTTCCAATCTGTATATAAGAACTAAGTTTAAGATTCCGCCTACGACCTGCTAAGAGAACCCGCGTTGTCCAGGAGTCAGCAAAAGCACATCGTAGTCCATCATTAAGAGTTTCAGCGAACTCGCTGAAGTTGTTTCGGCTCACCGACTTGTTAAGGACATTGTTTCAGGGTAGGAGTTCGTCGCAAGGTGTCTTTTTCGACAGACCTATTGTCGTGGCTTAAAAGCATTTCAACTTTGTTACATCTGAAGTATTGTAACTGCTGTTTGTGAACTTTTGTAACTGTACATACATTTTACTCGTAATATAAACGTTTGAGTGGAAATTCAGTAACGTCTCGTATCGTTTTGAATTTGACTAGAATCATATCATAAATACTAAAAACTACAGAAAATACATACTCAAAGATACAACCCTCACAAATGACACATGCAGAAAATGTCACATCATGCAAGAAACTATACAACACATCACTTCTGGTTGCAAGCGCTTCGCGCAGACAGATTATTTACATACACACAATCAAGTAGCAAATATAATACACCAAGAGCTTGCAAAGAAACACAAATTGGTAGACATCCACGAATCGTAATACAAATACATTCCAAAGACAGTATTGGAAAACAACACGCACAAAATGTACTACGACAGAGCCATAATCACAGATAAAACAATTTACCACAACAGACCAGACATCACACTCATTGACAAATACAACAAAATCACATATATTATAGACATAGCCATTCCAAACACTCACAATGTACAAAACACATGCACTGAAAAAATTAGCAAGTACACAGAACTTGCACAGGAAATAAGGCATCTGTGGAAGATGAATAGGGTGCTTTATGTATCTGTTGTTTTCTCCTGTACAGGTGTGATACCACACACACTACACAAAAGCCTGGGAACATTACAATTGAATAGAAACACATACATCACACTACAGAAGGTCATTATATTGAATACATGCCATATTGTTAGGAAATTCCTGAATACAGACACTGACACACTTATTTAATTTCAGTTTTGTTTTGGTTGCTATGCCTTGACTCTGGTCCGGTATAGTACCGGTGTCAACCGAGTGTAACCCAATAAACATGTCATATTGTTAGGAAATTCCTGAATACAGACACTGACACACTTATTTAATTTCAGTTTTGTTTTGGTTGCTATGCCTTGACTCTGGTCCGGCATAGTACACAGCCACCGGTGTGTACCGCGTATAACCCACTAAACACAATAATAATGATACATAAAAGAAAACTGTAATTAAATTATAATGATATGACATTTGAGCGATAGAAAACGTAATTTATATACGAGACTTGCCTGAATACTACTGAATGCTGGTTAATGTCTATATCCCCATGCTCAATCTAAGAAAGTTAATTATTATATTTTAAACTCAACACTCTTTCAATGAAAATAAAACAATAACATTGACATTTGATTCACTTTTAACCAACGCATTTATTTACAGTCATAAAACAAATAAGTGTGTATTAACACTCATAATGGAAAGAGGAAATTCACTTTCTGAAGGTAAAGTAATTAGTTAACTTTTTTTATTTTTACCTTTGAAAATAACACATACCACTGAAAGTACAATGAAACAAGATATCAATCTGCGTAACTAGAATGTTTCTTTATCCAGTTGAAATTTGATATAGTTATTTTGTTGCGTTTTAGATCAAATTACGTTAAAATAAATAGGAGTGTTTTCGAATACACAAATATTAAATTATAGAAAAATATAAAAGTTAAACATATAAATATCATTTTTTATGCAATCATCAGTTTTTTAAAAGTGTCAGTTTTGTAAATGAACCAGTGGCATTTGTAAGATATTTTGAACGGAAACACCAACACTGAAAAATTAAATATATCGAAATATAAAAAAATTCATCTTAGGATGATTAAAATGTAAATAAATTGGAACTTATTCATTGAAATTTTGGTTGTAATTTTTTATATTTATTTTTTAATTATTAGTTTTATTAATTTAATTATTAATTTTTTCAGCGAATGGAGTAAAGAACTGAAGCGAACAAATCCAAGCATACTGAAAGCTTTGTTACGATTTGTTGGATGGAAATATCTAATAATAATTTTACTTGCAATTATCAAGGTAATATGAGAACTGATTTGAAATAATTACATCATGTATTAAAGTAATTAAACGAACTGATATTTATATATATTTACAGCATACAGCAGTAATTGGACTCCAAGCATATTTATTAAGATTCACAATACATTATTTTGAGAACAGACTGGAATGGAATCAGTATAATGTTTACCTAATAGTTGCAGGATTTTTTGGCTTAACTCTCATGTATTTGTTTATAATTAATACTTGTATGTTTATTTCACAATTATATGGAATGAAATTAAAAATAGCTTTTTGCACTGTTATATATAGAAAAGTAAGTATCAAATATAATATATTATGAATACAATATTACATTATTAAATAAATTAACATTATAAATATAAATTGTTTCTAAATGCAAATTTTCGATAAATTGATGGTTTTATTTTCGTCATGCAAAATAATTTCAAAAAATTTGTCAAGAAATGATATTTTATTACACATTTTTTAATATTATGTATTAAAAGTTGCTTTAGCTTAAGTTTTTATTTAGTACTATGTTTAGACACATACTACAGTAATACTCTAAAGTTATGTCACCTTAACTTTTCTCCTATATAAAATCTTTTTTAAATATATCTGTTCTACAGGGCACTACATACTAAATTTCATGCGCTTTTTGTAAGCTTTTAACCGCAAACTTCCAATCGGAAGGAAGACCCTCCGCATCCCTTGCGTTAAAAGCTTACAAAAAGAGCATGAAATTTAGTATGATACATAATAAACTCTATATAGTTAGTCAGACGGTATTAATATTTAGTATTGGTATTATGTTATTTATTTTGAATATTTGTATTATTTACAAGTACTATTTATTTTTATGTTATCGGTTGATTTGTATTTTTGAATACAGTGATACCTCAAGATACGAAATTAATCCGTTCCGAAACTGAGATCGTATCATGAAAATGTCGTAAGGTGGATCATCTTTTCCCATACGATTACATGTAAAACCAAATAATTCGTTCCAACGCGAAAAACATACTCAAATTAAAGCCAAGTAATACATTAAAAGAATAACTGTAGTAAGAAAAACAAATGAAAAATGAGAATTAATGTAACGTCGTATGGTGAGTTTTTGTTCGTATCGTGGAGCAAAAATATGTTCGAATTTCATGTCGTATCCTGAAAATTTCGTATGCTGGGGCGTTCGTAACCTGAGGTACCACTGTATTTGAACGTGTTGTTCTATTTATCAAGTGTTCTATTTAACCTGAAGATGATCCAATGAATGGATCGAAAACGTTTGTTTCAATAAAAATAATCTCTCAGCGAAGGATAAGGTGTTGATTATATATTTAATTATTTTCTGCTGGGTATAGTTGTGGTTTATATTATACCTAATGTAATAGATATTCTAGCCCTGCTTCCGTTTTAAATTAAACACAAAGTACACATTAACACTGTGGTAATAAAATCAGTTTCATAAACGTTTTTCAGCTCTATTGATCAGCTCTCGTCATGTAGTTTAGGAATTTGGACAACATCAAACAGTGCATCGAAAATCTTTAGATTGACTTAATAACAAGAAAAAAAAAACAGGAATATTGGAAATTAATTTTCAACAAATTTTTACAATAAATTAAACATTTCAATTATTATAATAACAACAAACTATCCCAAAAATTAATACAATAACATGACTATGTAATATTTCACACTGCGCATACTAGAAAGGGTTTTTGTCAGACCCTAAACACTGGGAAGTTCGGTCGTGGGTTCGCGCCGCGATCGGACAGGCTGGCTGCAAGGAGTTTTCCGGGTTTTCTCCTTGCCAATAACGACTGAATAGGAGGCCAGTTCCCCTTAAAAGTCCTCCCGGAAGGCATTATTTCCCGCGCGTGCGTATAAGCCGTTAGATACGGCCGGCTCTTCGGTCGCATAGCGATCAATAACTCGTCTCTCGGAGAAAAAGCGTATCAGGCTATAGTCTCCATATGAACCAAGGGAGTAGAATAAGAATAAGGAGTTTTTGTTCGTTCTACTGTAAGGTCTCGTTTTATGCGGTGGATACGTTCTACAGAAAAGCGCATAAAAAATTCGCATAAAAAAAGACTTTACTTGCCTTGAAAAAGTAGGGATACGTTCCGTAATTTTCTGAAATCGCATAAAACCAAAACAACGAATTAAAATTAACTTAAAACCGCATAAAAAAGTTTGCAGAAATTAAAAGAAATAGGCTGCTTAATAAATTACTTCGAATGTCTGAAAGAAATTCATATAAAAGCTTAAAATAAACTTGTATTCAAACTTAATTCAGTTTATTTTATTGAAAAGTAATACAAGGGGAATCCCCGAATTGCAAAAGCTCACTCTAAAAACAAATCACTGACATCTGGATGTGAAGAGTTAATTAAAACCCCTTTAGTTCCTCGCCCGAGTTAACTCGGGCAGATTACATAGCGTTACATAAAACACGGTCCTTAAGGCTTTGAAATTTTTTTGAATTTTTGGAATGTTTTTTAAGTCTCCAAATTTTTTAAAAATATTTAAAAATATACGGCCAGCTAGTGTTCACCCTACTTTAAACCCTTGTCCTCCCGCGACGTTTATGAGAATGCCCCGGGAAATCCAACTCCAGCTGTGTTCAAGGTCATCCAGATGTATAAACTGACTCATCGGTGTTAAATTTCACAGTAGGGCAAGACAAAGGAAGTTAAACTTTGAAGCTTTTTTTTTCAAAATTAACGCATTTCTTTCGTTTTTTTCAGTATTAAGTATTTTTTATGTTTAATTACATTTAGTATCAAAAATTGCTAGGAACTAAAGCGATTAAGGTAGATCTAGCTGTCCTTTACATTCATAAACGTTATATGTCAGTGGAACAAATGGAGTGAGCTTTGAGCGTTCCACGATTTTTGGAGACTGTCTATACGCGGGCTTCCTAAACAAGCCTATATGTATGTTTGTCCAAAAAAAAATTTGGATGAAATACAAACCGCACAACTTCAAAATTGCATAAAAAAATTCGCATAAAACGAGACCTTACAGTATTTGCATGATTTTCTATGAGCATGTAATAGGGGGTTCCTCAGTAATCATTTGCAGACTGGAGGTGAGACAAGTACGATAGCCTTTGGCGATATGCAGCAGCACTCTCTGTTGGGAAGAGTTTAACATCCTTGATATGTGTGATTTCTTAACTGTATCTGCCCATGTGTTGCTGGCATAAGTAATTATTGGTACATAGACCACATCATATATGGTGGCCATGGCAACTGAATCCAAGCTCGAGTTTCAAATATATTCGATGTCCACAGCAGCTTGTGGTTGATAATGCCCCAAGATATTTGATCTCTTTCAATATCTTAATTGTATTTCCTCTCATTTTATTGGTAGGGACTCTTTTTTGTAGGTGTTTCTTGCCTGGTCTGGTAAATAATATATCTTGTAACCTGCTAGAATTGAAATGAAGCTTATGCTTAACACTAAAATTTCGATGTTATTGATAATCTTATTTCCCCTAAGCTCCAATTCCACGCGAGAGTTGGCTTTTATGAGGAGGAAGATGTTGTCTGCATATATGATGATGTCGTCTTGCACAAAGTTCTGCGTTACAAACAGGTCAAATATGACGTTCCATAGGAGCGAGACACACGCAAACCCTTGTGGACAGTGTTTGGTGATTTCCTGCTTATAGTGATTATTGCCTGATTGGAGAATAGCTTTCCTGTTAGATAAGTAATTTTTTAAAATGTTGTATACTGTATATTGGATGGTCGTGCTACGTTGCACAGTTGGAGGAGTACAATTGGCCATCAAGCTAATTCAAACGCCTTGCTGATGTCTAGACTCAGGTGCAATACATGGTGACTATTTTTCAGGTATGGAGATATCCGGTCTTTAAGAATTTTTACTGTGTCTGTTGTAGATTTTTCTTTACTGAATCAAAATAGCTTGTTGGTCAGTTTGTTGTTTGCTTTAACGTGCCAGTTGAGCCTTTCAGTTTGCTGTGTCTCCAAGTTTTTTTCATTACCGGTAAGAGTGAGATGGGTGTTTCCAGTGTTACATTGTGTTTCCAGACTGGGAGATAGTAATTATCTTAGCAATTTTCCAAAAATTAGGAAAGTTACTATATTTAAAACAGTTGCAAATGTGAGAGAGAATTGAAGGGTTGTTATTCCTTATGGCTTGAACTGTCTGCTGGTAAGTTATCAACACTTGGGGTTTTTTGTATTTAGCTGTTTTATGATGTCATTGATCTCTATGTTGGTAAATGGGGGAGCGTCCCTAGTCATGCATGGTTTGTTCATGCATAATATGATGCACCTATGCTACTTGTCATCCTGTGTTTTTATGTATTCGACGCAAAGTATGTTAAATTCAGTTTCAATGGTAGTAGGTAGGTCATGAGTATATTGGTTCCTGGTAAGAATCGTACAGACTGGTTTACTTGTTTTGAATATGTCCGTAAATAGATTTGTGATAAATCCCGAGGGTATTGGAAGCCTTGCCGCAGAATTTCTTTCATGAGTTAAGTTTGCCTCTTTGATTGTCGATTTTTAAAGTTTTAATGCAAAAGGAATTCTTTATTTAGCTATGTTCTGTTTGGCTATTGGTGGCATTTTTGATAGTTTTTTGTTATCTTGTTCATTTTTCTGAGCGCTGATGGTTGATTGTTCTACTGAAAAATGGGTTCTTTATACTTGCATTTTTTGGTATGCCCATGTTGCAAGATTCCACTACAGTATTAAAATTCTTTTCAATAGCCACAGCAGCAGCATCATTGCTCATGTTATGATGGAACTTGTAGTACAACGTTTTGTTGTGAACATTGAAAGTGATCCAGTCTGCCTTGGTTAAGATAAAGCGATACAGTAGAGAGTCGTTTATCCGAAAGTCAATTATCCGAAAGAATTCCAGTCGGTAAATTTAAATTTTCGTCAGTGCTGTGGCGCTGCAATCGTTGGCTATGTCTTGGGCTACTCAAATATTTTACGTTTTTGATACTAAATTAACTTCTGAAGTATAATTTTTTATTGTTTTTATATTTTTCAATATATTTATTTTGTTTAGAAAATAAAATAAATAATTTTTAACTATACAATAGTCTTCGTTAGGCTTAACATCGACGAAAATTCAATGTAAAGCGACACGCAATGGAGAAAAATTTCAACATGGGATAAATTAATATATTTTTCAGCACATAATCGGTTATCCGAAATATCGATTTTCCGAACAACCTCAGTCCCCAATTGATTCGAATAAACGACGCTCTATTGTATTTGGTAAAGTCGTTCCGTATATCAAAGCTGATATGCAGAACAGTATGAAAGTATGGGGAAAAGACAAAGCCTTATAGTACCTCCAGCATTCTTTTACTTAGTCGTCATGCATTTTTTTCATGCCTGGCCAAAGCATTAAATTTGTTCTATTAGTCGTGTATTTAATATGTAAAGACAGAATAATTTTTTATCTACAATTATTACTACATACTTGATTTGCTAATACATTTAATTAATGATGCAATTTCTGATCTTAATAAATTAATTAATAATGAAACACTTCATGTTGTTTGTTTGTCAAGTTATGACAATGCATCACTTGGGCAATCTGTTTTTGGATACTTTACATGAAGTGTTCATGAAGAAAACTAACTCCTGTTCAGACGTTAAGGACATGGAGAAAATGAGGAAAACTCCAAGTGGTCAATCCGTCTTGATGAGGTGCGAAACCATGACCAAACTCCCAGTATTCAGTGAACGGAACTGCTTGGCCGACATTTCTTGTACAGTGCATTCTTACCATGGGCTATGAAAATTATTTTCCTTGATGTTGTTGGCATTAAACTTATGTTACATCTATAAATATTTTTTGCTATAATGTTATAGGCAAGTAATACGTATAACTTTTGTTAATTTATTATCCCTGAAAATAACTGGTAAATCCAGTTTTAAAAAATAAACCTTAGCAAAAACATCTAAATAAAGAAAACTCTTGAAATAAGAATACTGGAAGCAGATTCGACAGTAAAACTCACATGTGAAGAAAGTTCATACATCACAGACTAAAACTACAAGATGTTTTGGATGAAGCAATGTACTGTACCCTGATAATGAATCAGTAAAGCAAGCATCGTCAAGAGAGCGTATCGAACTTTTACCGGTTTAGAATTACGTTAAATAATTTAATAGTGTACATACATATTTAGAGCAAATAATTCGGTATTGAATTATATAGTGTCAGTTTCTTAGTATCATATATTTTAAATAATATTTATAATGACATGTTAACTAAAACAAAATATATTTTAAATGCAGTAATGATTACAGTAGCTCTTAAAAGATTTAGGTTTGTGTAATTCGAAATACGTACGCAGTAGATCGTAGCAATCCAATGGTTGGCTGGTGTCACGTGTCCAGTAATCTGAAACTTATCTCACTCTCGGGTATTACCTAAACTATTGCCCTAACGTATAAACATCCTACTGCTTTAAGCTGCACTTCTGACTGAAAGTGAACACTTTTTTTTCCATAAAAAATAGCATAATATCAAGCCATGCGTAAACACTCGGACTTAGAAAGTTTTATAGTTTTGTCATCTTAAAACTGCAGAAAATAGTTTAGTCTGTTATAAAAATTAAAGTATAAATAAAAAAACAAAATTTTCTGAAATTTTCGTACAATTATACTGTACAGTACCTGGGTAAATTTTTCATGTTTACTTCAATTTTTGACAAAATTAAGCTGGTACCTTGTAGGTTCATATCAGTAAACAACAGCAACAGCTGTGAACTGGATAGTTTAACTAGTAGATCAACTTCTGTTTGCAACATTACTTATAGTTATATCTATGCTTTACAATTCGTTTATGTGCTATTGAAATTACCTTGTTACCAGCAATTAAAAAATTCCTTAATTTCACACTGTTCTGGTCCCATATATTTCTGGTGAATAATTTGATCTATTTCTTTTAATGAAATTACTATAACTATTTTTATACTAATTAAATTACTATAACTATTACTATTTTTCAACAAAACATAATATAATTTTTTGCGAAAATTTATCAATTTTTATAAAAATTTTTAATGCAGGCAATTAGACTGAATCCTTTCTGCCTAGAGAAGTCAAACGTTGGACAAATGGTAAATCTTCTAGCAAATGATGTCAGCAAATTTCATAATGTAAGTTAAATATAATTTTTTTTAAAAATAATAACGTACAGCAATTACTCTAGTAATAATTTTCTGTAGACATAAAAGTATTTTTTTTCTGTGTATAATATGATCAGAAATGTTTCTAATGATATTACACACTAGGTTTTCGAACATTTCACTTTCTGAACATGTTGAATCAGTAACACAAATATAAGCTCGAAGCTTATATTTGCTCCAATTGTCATACCTAACTGGGTTGATGAACAAGCTATACGCATGACGACATATTACAGAGAGAAAGATTGTCATCTTTCCAAATATGCTAAAAAAGTCGATGGACTGAGTAATCAGTAAGAGGTCTACTGGTTCAGAAGAGAATGACGCTCAGATCACCCACGTTATTAGATGTAAGGGCAAGAATCACCTGTGACGTATATGTAAATTTAATTTAAATGTACTTGTGGGAAAGATGTTACTTCCGTTTATCAGTACATGCCACAGTTGAATCTAAATGAAATGAATAAAAACCCCGTTAATTGACATTCATATAGCATAATTGTCGATCAAGAATTCGTCTTTCAAGAAGTTTAAGACAAATAAATAAAACTTTATTATGTATAATAAACTAGCAACAAGTTGCTGAATTTTCCGAACAAAATTTAAAATTTACCTGGCGCCATCTATTTATATATTTTTAAAACTACTTTTATAGTATTTTGTTTGTCAAACACAAATAAGTGTCACAAATTACAACACTTGGCGTTTTACGATCTTTATTCAGTTTTTAGAACAACTGTTACGTACGAATTATGTTCGAAAATCTAGGTTTAACTGTTTATAATTTTCAAACTCTAATATTCAATGTCGTATTTACTTTCAAGTCTAACATGAATTTGATTGAAAGCATAATAATAGTCTAATGAACTTTTATCACAACTCAGAAAATTTAAGTCAGTTATTTTTCTATAATTTTTTCTATTATCTACCAAATGTTAACATTCTTTGTAAAGAAACTTACATCCGTGACCTCCCATACGAAGAAGTAAATGAACTTGCATACAGAGAAGAAGACGAACGACAACTATACAGGTCGTATGTTTTATAATGATTTTGTGAGCTCTCTCTCTCGATCGCGAATTAGGTATCAGATAAGCATAGCTATCGTTCGATTTGTATATTATTGTAGTAGTTCTATCTCTCGTTTATCCACATTTTTGTATGAGTTTAATTTCTTGTTTTATTAAATTTATTATTCCGTTTTTAATTGGGATGTCTCTTGTTTGTGTGACCGAATCAGATCGTATACGCGTGTTTGTCCGCGCATCGAGAAATTGACAAACTGGTGTCAGCATCCTGACGTAGATCCGAATCTCGCGATATGGATCATTATTAAAAGCCCTCCTATAAAACTTTTTAAGATCGGATCTCGCGATCCGAAACGTCGGAGACAGATTTCGGTTAATCTGTGCCGATTAAGTGTTACACGAGTAATTCCTACTCCGTAACCCCGGCTACTCTCACATATGTTAACTGAAATAAAATATATTTTAAATGCAGTAATGATTACAGTAGCTCTTAAAAGCTTTAGGCTTGAGTAATTGAAGATACAGAGACAGTAGATCTTGGCAATCCAATGGTTGGCTGGTTTCACGTGTCCAGTAATCTAAAACTTATTTCACTCTCGGGTATTACTTAAACTATTGCCCTAACATATAAACTTCTTTCTGCTTTAAGCTGCAGTTCTGACTGAAAGTGAACACTTTTTTCCATAAAGAGTAGCATGACATCAAGCCATGCGTAAACACTTGGACTTAGACTGAAAGATTTATAGTTTTGTCATCTTAAGGCTGCAAAAGACTGGTTTAGTCTGTTATAAAAATTAAAGTGTAAATATAAGAACAAAATTTTCCGAAATTTTCGTACAAGTATACTGTACAGTGCCTTGGTAAGTGTTTGATTTTTACTTCAATTTTTGACAAAATTAAGCTGGAATCTTGTAGCTTCATATCAGTGATCAACAGCAACAGCTGTGAACTGGATAGTTTAACTAGTAGATCAACTTCTGTTTGCAACAGTACATATAGTTAACTCTATGCTTTAAAATTCGTTTATGTGCTATTGAAATTACCTTGGTACCAGCAATTAAAAAATTCCCTAATTTCACACTGTTCTGGTCCCACATATTTCTGGTGAATAATTTGATCTATTTCTTTTAATGAAATTACTATAAAAAAGAAAGTATTATATTTTTGAACAAAACATAATATAATTTTTTGCGAAAATTTATCAATTTTTATAAAAATTTTTAATGCAGGCAATTAGACTGAATCCTTTCTGCCTAGAGAAGTCAAACGTTGGACAAATGGTAAATCTTCTAGCAAATGATGTCAGCAAATTTCATAATGTAAGTTAAATATAATTTTTTTTAAAAATAATAACGTACAGCAATTACTCTAGTAATAATTTTCTGTAGACATAAAAGTATTTTTTTTCTGTGTATAATATGATCAGAAATGTTTCTAATGATATTACACACTAGGTTTTCGAACATTTCACTTTCTGAACATGTTGAATCAGTAACACAAATATAAGCTCGAAGCTTATATTTGCTCCAATTGTCATACCTAACTGGGTTGATGAACAAGCTATACGCATGACGACATATTACAGAGAGAAAGATTGTCATCTTTCCAAATATGCTAAAAAAGTCGATGGACTGAGTAATCAGTAAGAGGTCTACTGGTTCAGAAGAGAATGACGCTCAGATCACCCACGTTATTAGATGTAAGGGCAAGAATCACCTGTGACGTATATGTAAATTTAATTTAAATGTACTTGTGGGAAAGATGTTACTTCCGTTTATCAGTACATGCCACAGTTGAATCTAAATGAAATGAATAAAAACCCCGTTAATTGACATTCATATAGCATAATTGTCGATCAAGAATTCGTCTTTCAAGAAGTTTAAGACAAATAAATAAAACTTTATTATGTATAATAAACTAGCAACAAGTTGCTGAATTTTCCGAACAAAATTTAAAATTTACCTGGCGCCATCTATTTATATATTTTTAAAACTACTTTTATAGTATTTTGTTTGTCAAACACAAATAAGTGTCACAAATTACAACACTTGGCGTTTTACGATCTTTATTCAGTTTTTAGAACAACTGTTACGTACGAATTATGTTCGAAAATCTAGGTTTAACTGTTTATAATTTTCAAACTCTAATATTCAATGTCGTATTTACTTTCAAGTCTAACATGAATTTGATTGAAAGCATAATAATAGTCTAATGAACTTTTATCACAACTCAGAAAATTGAAGTCAGTTTTTTTTTCTATATTTTTTCTATTATCTACCAAATGTTAACATTCTTTGTAAAGAAACTTACATCCGTGACCAAACTTTCTGTTCGCACATTCTTAGACTATATTTTGTATTAAATACTTTATTTTTTGAAATGTAATATTGAAAGCTTTAGAAAGGTGTTGAGTACACCGATATTAATATAAACAATGGGATGTTATGTTCTGGGTTTAAGTGTATGCTTATTTGGACAAGTTTTGCTTAATAAATTCAAATATAAAAGTATTTTTTACTGTAATTATACAAAGTAAACATTTTTATTAACGTGAAAAAGAGATTAGTGTAAGAATCTCTTGCATTTTAAAACTAACATAAAATTTTTCTTTCCATCTGACCCTATTGCAAAGTCTCAAAAGCTTTGTTTCAGATCTAGACATCAACGCTGTTCTGTAAATAAAACAATAGGTGACAATCTAAATATTGTAAGTTAATGAAATTTGCAACATGTACAAATGATACGATACATGAAATTTCAGAATTTTCAAAATTTAGAAAAACAATTTTTGCCACTTCATTGCATGTCAAACCAGAAAAAGTAAACCTTTGATAGTATCCAAGTATTAGACGGCCGGATGGCCGAGCGGTCAAGGTCAAGAGACGACTGCTCTACAGGATCTGGATTCGGATTCAGACGAGTCAAGAAACCCCCAGGAATTTTTCGGGGTGGTCCGTTCGTATATGTCGGACTCCAGTCCCTCAGCACTCGGTCACTCCATTGTAGGCCGAGCCGAACCCATAAAGAGTCTGCTATAAGAGATTCTCTTAGTGTACACAGGGCGGAAAGAGTAAAAAAACATATCCAAATACTGTCTTCTAAAAAGCTGCATGTGATTACAAGATAAAAAATCACAGATTTTTTGTAACTTTTGAATGCTATGCAAACAGTCTCATGTTTATGTTCATTTAGTTACCAAATTAACTTTGGTCACACTGTGTGACTCACAAGTGACAGATAACATTATAGACTGACATCTGTATGTCTCAGCAACGTTAGCATTGGAAAAATTTGGTTGCTCCTTGTAACATTCTTTTCTTACATCTTCTTACAGTATTTTTGCAGGTATTTTTAGTAAGAGGAGGGACTCCAGGTATCACTCAAAGGTACGAATTGGAGGTTGGGGGAGAAAGATAACGAAAAAGAAGTAAGGTGAAGGATAGGAGGTGAAAGTGATTCAGATTGCTAGTTAAAAAAATGGGATTTGATGGTGCCTGCAACGCATTAACATAATAAGTTTTCAAATACAAAGTACAAAATAGAAAATAAAAATAGAAATAGAAATAGAAATAGAAATTAGATATTAGATTATGATATTATTTCATGGTAAACTCAAAATATAGTTTTCTTCCAATTAGAAGTTCAGACTACAAGTCGACCCCCTTATAACACTATTGATAATTCCGTTTTATATGAATTCCATGTTGTACGAGTCACTTATATTTTACAAATACGTGAGCCGTTCACAGCCGGGCTCACGTATTTGTTGACCGCCGATTGGCAATCCTCCGAATTGTAGGTGTACGAAAGTATGTAATAAAATGGTTCACATTCTTACAAGATATTATTATTATTTATTGTGAAATTTTGCCGCCCCCTAAAAAGTGCCGCCCTTGCCCCCCCACGCTACACTACTGTATTTTTCATTTTCCCAAATAAACCTAATCAACATATAATATTCTGAAGTGGAAAAAGTAGTAGTAACATTTTTTACATAAAAATTATCATACAAATAAATGACACTGAAATAAATTTATACTATATATAAAACATTTTTATATTTTGCATTTCTATGCATTTTACGTAAATATGCATATTTGAAGAAAGTTATAATTAATAATAAACGATATTTCTTTTTTACATTTCAAGTTATTTTAAAAGTGTTATCGGCCAGCTTATTATTTGTAGTTGTCATTTCATCGTGCAGATACGATTTTTATACAAGTAGAAAACTATTCTTCGTATGTTAAAGTACTTTAGTAATAATTATATTTTATCAGTGATCATATTTTGTAATTTCTACGGAAGGAAGTGTAAAGACTACAACAGAAACTCATTCTGGGAACACTTTTGTTTTTTCTGTACAATTTTTATCAATATAATCTATACTAATATTATAAAGAGGTAATGTTTGTATGTAAGTTGGGATGTAGTGGGTAATCTCCAAAACTACTCATCCGATTTCAAAAATTCTTTCACTAATATTTAGAATGGAACTTCAGGGTGGACATAGGATGTATATTATTCCGGTAAACATTCATATAAATTAAAAGATATAATCTAGGTTAAGGCTTTTATGTCCAACAGATGGCGCTACAAGTATGACATCCTAAGTTTGCTTTTCTGTCAGGCATCATGCTTTTCTATGAAAATGAACTAAAGCATCTCATCTTCTATCTATCTATATAAATAAAAATGTAATGTTCGTTTGTTCCTACAGATTCCTTTGAAATTTTGACACAACGCTGCATTCGAATACGCACATGTTTTTGTATAATATACATGTTGAAATTCAACCCCACTGAAGGGAGATGGTTAGGATTAAGGCTTACGGTAAAGAACTCTGCTTCTATTTATACTATTTTAGATGCGGGTTTTTGC